CCAGGGATGAAGAGAGACACTTGCCCAAGGCACAGTAGAAGCTTGGACAGAATCTCCTAAGCCAGAATATTCCTACTGAATTTTGAGATACAGGTTACCACTTAAAGTGATACAGCTCATAAGGTTAATACCTTTGAGGACCTCCCAGTGAACAGGTTAGATTTCCTCTTACCTCAGGATGTCAGCTGCTGACCCAGCCTACCATACCATGCCACAGCCATGTTTAGCAGTACTCAGTGGTGCAGCCAGCACAAACTTGTGCTTTATATCACAACTGAAGTTGTTCAAAGAAGTGGAACTGACTCATCAAGAACCAGGTGTATCAAAATACAATTTATTCTTAAAATGCCTAGTTTACACAGAACAGCAGGGGTTACATAGGAAAGTGCAATTAGTGTAAGAGGCATTTTACCTTCATGTTTTATCTTGTCATTGCATTGCAAGTAGTTTCAGACTCAGGATATTATACTTTTCAAGCAATGGGCAAAAACGTGGCTTGTGTTTTGATGTTAACACCATCTCTGTAGAGCTAAGTGAAGGTATGCCAGTATTCACACCTACTGAGTATGTAAAACTCATGTGGGGAAACTGCCCAATACAACAAACAGATCTTTACAGTTTTATAACTCAGAAAGCTAAACTATAAGCATACAAATACAAAATATACATTAGTTTACCAAAGTCTAAAAAAATCCAAAAAATTTCAACTTAAAAAATGAGGTATGATAAAATAGAGCAGTTTTCTATTTATGTGCAAGCCTATGTTCTTTCTAGAAAAAAAAACTAACAGCAACCCTGCTCTTTTAAAGAAATTAGCTGTTACCAAGTATAGTTAATTCACTGTCTTCAATATGAAGGACCTTGCCTCTGTTACAGTTTCACAGTGTCAGATGGTTGACTGTCCTGCTCCCTATTGCAAAGTTAGTGATAACTTTAAGATATGATCAGGCAAGCAGTCAAATCATGTAATGCTACTACAGACTAGGATGTTTACAAATCAGTTGGTCTACTTTGTAGACTAGCCATGGCTCCAGCTATTACTTTTGGTATCTAGGTTTTTTTTTTAATTTTTTCAAAGGCACATTCTTCTTTTAACATTAGAAGGTAACTCTCTGCCTGTTAAGTGAGTAGGATGATGGAGGTAAAAGCCAAGGTTAGACTTGTTCTCCAGTGCAAGATACTTATTATTCACAAGGCAGATGTAGACACAGATGTCTTCCCAAAGCAGCAGTCATTTTCACCACTTACTTCCATTTATTTTACATTATTTTCTGTATTCTCATTTTTATATGATAGAGTTTTCTGATACTTTAAGACCAGCTTTGGAAAGATAAATAAGTTGTGCATCTCTGCACACCTTTCCTCTTCCCCTTCTCACACTTTTCCATTATCCTCTCCGAGTTTTTTAACCTGTACTGAAGCCACAACCCCTTGCCATGCGCTCCTACCTGCCTCTACTACAAGCATGTAGAAGGTCTGCAGCAAGCCACCATCCTGACAGCGTCACCTCATCTCTACTACGCTCCTACCAACCACAAAGCAAATTGTGGCGTTCTGTTCACATACCCTCCTGCACACGCACAGCTACTCCAGCTTGCAAAGATGCCATCACCTCTTATACTTCCTCACACTCTTGTCTAATGACTGAGGAAAACTAATAGCAGAAAGCAAGCAGCATATATTTAAGATACAAGCATGCTATTTCTACAGTAGGTGGCAGACACATGGGCTTTATCTTGCTTTCCTTTCTTTCCAAGGATAAGTTTTGGCTAAGAACTTTAGTAATGTAGTATGTTTAATAAGTCCCACATACTAGTGAACTTGGATTTGTACAGACGGTCAAAGCCTGCCAGATGGTTTTGTTATATTGTACATGAACCAGGAAACTAACACTGTGTTCTGTTGCCAAATGGAAGAATACTTCCTAGCTAGCCTCTCTCACCAATATGGTGATGAATTTTCAATCCCTCCCAGGCTCTGCCACTGGGGAAAGAAACCACTGGACATCCTTGGACTGCCTAACTGATCAGGTTCTTTCTCTTGTGCTTTCCTTGGAGCCTGAAGATCTATACAATCTTTCCTGGCGGATGGTATTTGAACACCATCAGGTTTCCACTCTGCATGGAGAATCTTGTAATTCTGACCCTCGTTATTGTCCCAGAAGATATGTTCTCTGCTTTGATAAGAAATGCAAAACTCAATCTTCTCTTGAGCAGAAATGGTAGGAGGCAAGTCAATGGTAAATGAAAAGGTGTCATTGTCAGAATCGCCGTAAACGTTGTTCATGTATACACACTCAACGTCCGTGTAAGTCTTCCAGGTATCAAAGGTAATTCGAACCTGAACCTTTTTCTCAAAACTTACATTTTTTACTTTGACTGTCCCTGACAGTACCTTCTCTTGGAGGGCGCAGCTCTCCAGACAAACAAAGTTCTTCTGAAGGCGGCTCCGGAAGTCCAGGTAGTCAGCTGAGGGCCGAGGGAAACCCAGAATCAAGTTTTTCTCTTCATGTAGCTTTAAGCCAGATGTGATGTTTTCAAGGCCTAGTAAGTCAAACTGCAGGTCCCACACAGGGTGCTCCTGAAACTCGGAGAAGGTGTGTATGGCTGTCAAGGACAGTCCCTTCGAGTCTGCAAACACAACTCGCTTCTTGGCTCGGGCGGATGGGCGGTTCCAGTCGCTCTTTTGCGCTTCAGAGTCACGCTTCACATTGAGGCATGGGCGGAGAGGTTTGAATCTGTTAACAAAGTTGTTTCTTTGACAGTCCTCAAGGGGGCTGAGGAAGCTCTTCAGCGGTGGTGAATGGGCTAAGCAAATTCTCATGGCCACATCCACAGGCATAATTGGGCTTGGCAGGGGTCTCGGATCCAAGATCTGTATCATTCTGAAACGAGCAGAGACAGCAAGTTATATTGCCTGCTACAGTAGGGAAGGTGCCTCTTAAGAATGCATTTTTGTTTCATTTGCCATCTTAATTATTCATGGCCTGCTCTTTGCACAGCTTTAAGTAACACAGCCTAAATTAAAATCGACTGCCAGTCAGTTCAAGCTAAGGAAGTAGGATGAGAGTATTCAACTATTTCTTGCTGATTCTGAACTCTTGATCCAAAATGTAGTCTCTTGTTTGCTTTTCCAAACCTCTCTATGAAAAATGGAGGTTAGTGACATCTAATCATACATGCTCATTTTCTTGAAGATGCAGGAGAAAAAAATTCTAGTAGACCAATGCAGACAGGTCTATTCACAACTAAAGTGCTCATGTACTTTAAAGTAGTTTCTGTTTTAGAGACTGAACTAGGTCTTAAAATTCATGCAGGTTGGATCAGCTGCTTCATCTGTGAGCAGAGAACTTGCTTGATACAGCACTATCAAGCAAGCTATCACACAGCATCAAGCAGGACAGCATCACACTATGACTCTGAACAATCAAACACATTTGTTAGGCAATCTGGTTTTGGCTAATTCAAATGAACAAAAACATTAAGGCTTCCTTAGATATATTCTTTAGGAGCTATTAACCTAGGTCTTGGAAGAAGAGCTGTCTTGCATTGTTAATTTTGGCTGTTGACTGAATAGGGGAAAAGGGGAAGGGAAGAATTCATCTTCATGTCATCATGCTTAAAGAACTAGCTTAAAAAATATTTCTGTAATCCTCAAAGTCCATGCCTAAAGCCTACTGCAAGTCTTCAGTAAGAATGCTTTGGCCTGATTCATTCCCTACAAGATGAGGAAAGTCAGTTATTATGCAAAAAATGGCCCATTTCAAGCCAGTTTGCATGTATATTTGCAGAAGTGAGCTTCAACTGCAATAGCTCTCTTCTGAGAATGACTCAGTCCTTGTTGGAAATAAGGATTTTTTTTGTTGAGTCATGGGAAGCAAGAATACTTGCATTGTCATTTAAAATATATAAAAATAACTTTCTCCTTGCTAGTGTTCTCAGTGGTATTCCAGAGCACCACTAAAAAAAATAAAAACAAAAAACACACAGCAGAACCTGCAGTAACCTTGCAATTCTTTTTGCCCCCCCCCCTTTTTTTTTATTGTGGCAGGATTTGCCATAATAGGTAGGATTGAGAGCGGCAGCAGCAGATGAGCCAAGGCTTGCTCCGCTTTATCAGGAGCGGAGCTAACGCGTCCAGAGCGGCTCTCCCAGCACCCGGGCCCGCG